ACCTGAGTCCGCTCGCTTGTAACAGCTCCATTTGATGTAACCCAGGTTAATTTGTCCCTGACTGTACAATGCAGCTGATGCATGGATACAGGAAATGACATTGACCTCTCGTTGTTTTGATTCTGTGCGCTTAGTTCCTTTGGGTTCAGTTTTTTTTGTCCAGAAAAGGACTGCTTTGGCTTTGTTAACCTTGTTCCTGCTCACATTGCCGAGCGTTCCAATGTAAAGCATTGTATACCATTAGGGATCCGTGTCAGCTGAAGTCGAGAAAGGACTGCTTTCTCTCTCTCCCTTAATTTTCTCTCTCTTCTCCTGACGGCAGTGTTTCATGTTGGACTGGAGCTTTTTCAGGAACAGTAATGTTTTAGTTCCTTGTATGAGGAGACAATGTCAGTACAATCTCTCTCCTCGCAGTATTAGCTGCTCTCCCTCAGCCACGCAGACAGTGCAGGTCCTATCGCTCCCCTCACAGTGCCCGTCTTTCTGTTCGCCCCACACTTCCCTTCTCTCAGCCTGCCACAAAAATCTTGTGGATTATTTTTACACAAATAACAGACTGGAATGAGACGGGAAGGACACTGGTCATTTGTGTGGAGAATTGTATGACATAAGATGAGATGTTTGTAAAATAGATTTGCTTTAAACTATTGAAACTAGTAATGCTTTAAATAACTTCCTCTTCTGATTTGAAATTCAAATTTTGTCTGAGACTTTATCTGTTAATGCCCTGTGCTGTCTTGAGAGAGAGAAAATAACTTTGTTTGCTGTCTCTTACCTTAGCATTCATAAACCTAGCTCTACTATCTTTTCAGTCAATGTTTATTTTCATTCACTACTCACTAAGACTCATTTTTGCTTTGTATTAGTTTAAAATGCAACTGTGGGGCACTGCAGCTCTTACTGTTCTGTAACCGAATACCTTTATAGTATGTTTTCAAGCTCAGATATTAAACTGACCAAATCTGTGATCCATGATTTATGCATTCTTTTACTTTGAACCATGCAGCCAGCAGCTTACTTATACTGGAGCTATTGTAAATTAATTGGATAGTACAGTTGGACCATTCATTGTGGCCTAAAACACTGCCATTCACCTCTTGACTCGGATAATAACCGTCTCTAAGTGACTACTTTGAATGAATGTGTATGTTCATTTTGTTTGGAACTCCTCGTTTCTAGGTGAAGTTTAAATGACATAGAAAGCTGAAATGCCAATAACTGAGAGGTAATTTGATACTTCTCAAAGTTGAGTAAAATGCCACGGTGTTGTACATTGAAGTGCAGGTATAGAACAGCATCTGTATCATTTTATATCAATAGATGAAAATGGGCCTTTAATATCTGCCACATTTACTTATTTTTTTGCCTCTACGCAGGAGCTTGAAATTTGAAGCAAATCCAAGGGAAAGCAGGGTGTGTGTGTGTAAAGTTATTCTGAGCTTTACATAGTTTCTTCATGTTTAGACTGGTGTTTAGGTTGCAAAGCTGGTGTTGGTTGTAAAACTGATGGTTTGCATTAGGTGGTTTAAAAATGCCTGATTAGAATCACCTGTTAGCTGGGGGGGGGAGAAACCGGGTTAAATGTCAGCAAGTATATAGTAGCATATGAAAAGTATATAATAGCATATTTCAAACAGTGTAATGAAATAAAATGGGAGTATTAATACATATAAATCTTAGGTAATTGTTTCCAGTTTCAATCCTTGTGATCTCTGTGTTCTTCAAGATTAATAAAACTTTGAGGTGTAAATCTTATTGATAATTAGACGTGGGTGTGTTTCTGAAGGCAATTTTGTGCCAGAGCTTCTAATTCTCTCCTACATTATTACTCATATTCACAATGCTGATAGTCAGGAAATTTGAATGGTTTGTCTTGTGGATATCTCCATAGCTCTGATCAATGCAGCTCCTAAATCAGATTGCCAAGAAGTGTAAGTGTTACGCAAGTGTTGTGGAAAGTGACCCGTTGTGTCTTTGTCCGGGAGCTTGCTGAGACTGTCAGAGCTCATCGAAATAAAGTTTCATTGCAAATGCAGTATTGAGTTCCTAAAATCTAGCAATCCATCTTTCCCTGTCTTTTTAATTAATTGTGCTGTAAAGTACTGGCACATTCTCTTTAATCCTAGGTGAGTTTCTTCTTGTTAACGAATTAGAACTCGTCAACTGAGCAATTTGCAGATGCGTTATCCGATTCTCGGTTGCATAATTGACATCCGTAATTAATCTGTAAAATGTGCATGTAAACCACAGGTGTGTCTGAGTAATCCAAAAAACATTGAATTTTGTAAAACTTCCAGAAATCTCTTCCATCAGATTTCATATGTATTTCATGAAATGGATATGTTGAGATCTGGTTTGCCTTTGTTGCCTTCAACTTCAATACTATTCTTATAATGAAAACCATATCAGTACCCAAACTGAATGGCTAGGTTAAATCCTTTTATTATTTGCAGCAGTACCATAGGGCTTTGGTTTTGCGTGAACCATTCACTGTAGGTAAAAGTCGGGACGAGGTGGCCTTTGGTTAACCAAAATGGTCACTCGGAATTTATTATAAGTGGCCTTTTTTCATCAGACTCCAAATTGCCTTTGAAAGTAAGCATGCTGAGAATTTTTTTTATGGATCTCTGAACATTTATAAGTACAGACTTGGCACTGTGATGTTTGCGAAAAAAAAAAGTGGAATTTTCACAAAAAGCCTTTTTGGAGTCCAAGAAGCCGTTAGAAGTAGTCAGACTGATAGCAGCTGTCAATTTAGGTCAGTTGGCAGCACGTTTGCCTCAGGGGCAGAAGGTTGTGAGTTCGTGCCCCCTACAGAGCTCATAAAGTAGTCTGATACTCCAGTGCAACACACCATTGGTAGAGATGCCGGAGTCCTGCTTTGCCCGTTCTGACGATTCAGATTGACATTAAAGATGTCCATTTTGAAGAGCGAGTTCTTCAATCAATACCCTGGTCTCATGCAAACTCACCCAAACCGATTGAAATTTGGAATTCATTACTTTTTGTGTGAATTTGGAATTCATTTACTGCTGGTTCTGATTATTTGCCACGTTTGGACACACAACTGCTACTTCGCTTCCGAGTGACTCATTGTGTGAAGTTCTTGGAGAAGTCAGTGAGTTTCAAATGGGTTACTTAGGTCTGTTGAGAGCAGACATTTGGCAAAACATTTCTGCAATTTTTGCAGCAATCGGCTGCCAAAGGCACAGCATAAGCAAATGTCTCAGACAAATGTTGGGAACTGTACCTCTGTTGAAGTGTGTTGTCAGTTGCAAGTTGGTCACATGATTGTAGATTATTTAGTGCAAATGTAAACTAAAGCGATTAGAAAAGTAAGAATTGGGTTTTGCAGTTGGTTGATAATGATAATAATCCTTGCATCTGATGTAGCGCCTTATCATGTCTTCAAAAGAATAATTCATGCGGTCTCTTTATAGTATATTTTTAAAACAAAACTACATTCTCTGAGGATCTGAAAATATTTTTGGTATTTTTCCTTCGCTTGAGGATTTGACTCCAGCTTGTGCTAAAATGAAGGAGATTTCTTATTTGATTATAAAATCGATGTGTTTTCTAAGCCACGAATGCTTGGGTATACAGTGTATGGAAATTCCATTTATCCCAGGGGTAGTGGGGGATGGAGGGGGGGGGGTTTCTAGGTTAATGGAATTTATGGTTGGCAGCAGTGGTAGAGGCTTGGGACTAGGTTTCCATCCTGTGCCTTAAGGCAGTGTTAATGCTTGAGTAGAGATCCCTTCCCTTCTCTCCCTTCCCCACTAGGGAACGTGTAGAAAATAATGTCTCAAATCTTTCATGCTGCACCGCACACTCTTATGACTGCGTTATCTTGGAGACTAAACATCAACTTGTTGGAATATACCAAGTATTTTATAACCTGTAACATTTTTAGATTCTCAAAATTCATTGTAAAATGATCAAAAAAACTAATTCATGTTTAGAAACCTCTCCTGACTAATTTTGAGAGTTCAAATATCGGGCTTTCAAGTATAATATGTCCTGTGGGATTGGAAGATTTCCCAATTTGGACAGATGGCAGTCTACTTTTGTCTGAAACGTGATTAGGTTTAATTTCCCATGAGTCCATCTTTGGAATCAGCCTGAGTTTTGTGATTGATGTTGGCCCCATGATTGTCGGATAGTCTTTGTATGGAGATTGTGATCTGATAAGGATTGAACATCTGTCCTGATTGGGTGATACACAGATGGGCACTCAATCATTTATCAGTGGTATTTCTACAATGTTACTGGCTATGAAAGGAATCTGAATTTCTTTACTTCAGCTTTAAAACTATGAGATTTCAGCCACTGTCAATCCTGACAGTAATTTCTGTTGGAAATGGCTGTCAATTAGTCAAAATATCCAACTGGAATCAATTTATAAATCGCAATAATTTAAGTACAGTTTATTTTCTTACTGGTAGGGTAATTTTTTTAAAATTTCTAAAATGCTGCAAGTAGATGTTTGTGAATCATATGGTTTGGCTTTAAGAGGAATTCTTGTGTTATTTTGTGCGAGGAAGCTGAATGCATCAAGCTGGTCATTAACTTGCAAGTATGTCCTTTCAATAATCTTAATCGTGATTCCTTGCCCTACTCTGGGATGTCCTCCTGACATGAAAGGCTCAAACTGTGCTCCCTACAGTGTCTGTCCATGAATTGCATAGATAAGCAATTTGAGACGGCCTCGATAAAACTGCCACCATCAATATTAGTGAAATGAAGGAAACTTATGTTTTGCTGGTAAAGAGGTTAGGCATGAAAGGAGCTAGATAAATGAAATTTGTTGTTGTAGATAAGTATACTTTGATTGTAGGCTGTAGTTTTGAGGAATACCGATTTTGAATTATTTTTCATGATGCAGTTAGTAGCCATTGGAATGATTAGCCATATGAAATGTACGGTATGTAAGATTACCTGATTTACCATTGACCATTCAGTCCCGACACTCACTGCCTTGAATTTTGTCATTGTTTTAGGCCTTCGGCCAGGCTTACAGCAACCACAAGAAGGTAGCAGCCGATGGAGAGAGCCGTGAAGAGTCACTGATTCAGGAGTCGGCTTCGAAGGAAGCGTATTACATGGGGAAGATCCTAGAGTTGCAAACGGAGGTGAAACAGATGAAGAATGTGCTCACGAATGCTCATTCCGAGAATGAACGTCTCTCTTCTATCACACAGGAGCTGAAGGAGGTAAAATAAACTCTTAGTTCTATTAATTAAAAACATTTCTTTTGCATTATTTATTTGAATGAATATTGTAAGTTTGCGTGCAACTTTCCTATGAGGTTTGCTTTCAAGTCAATTGATTATTTCCTTTTTTTGATGTTAATTAAAAGTCAGAATTGGGTTTCCCAAAGAGAAAGACGTATGTGAATTTGCTGTGGAAAAAGTGAGGGTAGCCATAATCGTCCAAAAGCAGCACAGGAACACACCCACTGATTTAACAGAACATTCTTTTTGCATGCGTAATAGAATCCAATACAGATGGTTTCCGTTGCTTGAGAAAGCTGTATAACGTTGGAGGCAAATAATAATGAAGCATCGCAAACAGTCAAAGTTATGACAATTGCTCTACCCGACTAAATAAAAACAATATTGTTGTGTTCTAAATCTGCTCTTAACAAATCGCCTGATTTTAACACTATGTGGCCCACCAATTTCAGAAACACTTGAGCACAAAAGAGCAGCAAATTTAATCGGACCATAATACAGGAATAATTGTATCCCCTTTTGGTCTCGCTGCACTAAGTGCCAGCCTCCCACTGAGAGGCAAGTTAGTAATCAGCTTCCTGGCCTCTCTCTTCATTGGGATTGGATTAGGGTTAGAAAGCTACATTAGTGACGCATCTCCTTCCAAACGCTTAAAACACGCCAAAGTGGTGTTTAGTTTAGTGTGTTTTGATTGTTACTAGGTGGATGGTGAATCATCCATTTTTTTAAAAAAATATGAATTTGGGTTTAATTACTGTATTCACAAAGTATTGTGGAGCTGGGGGATGATTGTCTGTGTGTATGTATGTATGTGCCCTTTATGTATTGATTAACAAGGTAATTCAACCAGCAATTTATAATGTTATAAAGCATGGAGGCAAAGTTCACGAAAGCTGACTGATAGATTTCACTAAAATATAATCTGAACGATAATGCCAATCTGATGCCATTACTGGTTTCCTCTATGCTCTTTGGCATTTAAAAAAAAGATAAAGCTTTTCCAGAAGACATTTCGAGTGTTGCTTTACATGCATTAAAGTACATTAGTTTAGTGTCTTTTACCAGCTCCTCTTTCTCTCCCATCTGTTCAAGACCTTTGATTCTTCCATTTTTTTCAGTCTGGACATCAATCCGTTCAACATTGCGGCCTCTCAATCATTTGCGCAAGGCTGGCGACTCATTAACAATGGTTCTTTAACACTATAAAATGGTCAATACAGTCGGGCCTTTTTGAGATAGCATTAAATCGCTCCATGGGAGAAACAGTCTTTATTTAAGGCAGAGACCTCAAAACCAAAAGTAGACCAAATGTCTGTAACATTTGTCGATTTTAATAGAAGAAAATGATAACCAAGACCCAATAAATTAGTGGGTTCAAGTTTCTTGTTTGCATCTGTACTGGAGTATTTACACACCGTACCCCATATTATCTCATTAATCATTCTCCAACTCACTATCTCTTCTAGTGAAGGGAATTTCTCCGCGTGTCCTGACCAACGATCCTCCAGATAAAATTGGTCATTTCACTGTTCGGCTGTATTGCCACGTGCAAATTGACTGCCACGTACACCTGCAAAATACACAGTCAAAACACTTTATAGTAAATCCTGTGAAGCTCTTTGAGATATCCTCCCAATGTGATATGTGCTACATTCAAGTGCAAGGATTAATATGAAAATTATTATAGCTTGTGTAATGTTTGCCTGAACCTGCTGTCTACCTAACTTTGGTTGTTATAATTTCTAACTTTCCCCCCTCCCCAATCTGTATAGTGAAGTAACATGAGAAATGAACCATCGAGGAGGTGATGCTCCGTTTGCAGTTATGTTTTGTCTTAGAAGTTACACAGAATCTGGTTCTGTCAGCCCAAACTCTGGCATATTTGCTGAATATTCTGAAAATTATCATTTTATGCATCTCAGCTTTTTAGACTAATAAAAGCTGAGTGTTTCATTTTACTCCAGGCAATACTTGTCAGTTCTTTGTTTACATGGTTGGGTAACTACATCTGTGCAATCTGTGGGTTTTCGTTTAGAAGCTCTGCTCTCCGAAGCTTTGCCCCTTCCATTTGACCTATCCCCGTGCATTTAAAGAATTGCTGGTGAATCCAGGTTGATGAAGTATTTCTGGTTAGACCTTTGAAAAGATGTCTGGACAAATGAGCACAGCTGCAGCTTGCTTTCTGTTCAGCCCAACAAGCAATAATGCAAAAAGCGTGTTAGAAATGCTGCAGGGATATGTCTGGACAGGTTGTTTCTTCAGAAGATGGCATTTTGCCATTTGACTCGAATTTTGCTTCCTTTATCAGTTAATTGTTTGCAGAAAACCCCGAATAGAGACTTTCCTGGCCATTGGGGAAGGTACTGGCAAGAAACGAGGTCATGAATTTCAGTTTCAGCTGTGGATGACTAGGCTGTCTTATCTTTTTACAATTTCCATCTACTCCAATGTAAATGGATCAGTTTCTATACGGACATATTGCTGGTTGACTGTGTCATTTTCTTACCTTCGGCTTGTTTATATGAACGGAATAGTTTTGTTGCTCGTTTATTGCGGTAGGTTGATAAGCTTGCAACCTTTTATTTCAGTGAAAAGTTGGCCTTTTCGTGGGATCCTTGTTAGCTTTGAGCTGTCGGCCATGGGCACACCTCCCTGTTTTACTGAAGCTCCCTAAGGGTGGGGAGGTTATCCTATTTCATGTTCTTCATTTGGATGTTTTGAACAGTCTGGCAGATAATTGATGGGAATGTCTCGGGGCACAAACCATTTATTGACTATAGATTTTACTGGAAGAAATGCTGTGTTTCTTGAAAATCCCATTTCAATTTGAGAACCATGGTAACTGATGCAAGGTTAGATTTCTCAGCAGAAATCTATAGCTATGGAACGAAGGGACCAAGGGATATAGTCCTGAACTAATGGTTCACTATTATAATATCAAACGCAAGGATTATTATTATTGTTTATCTTATGAGTGAATACGATTTAAGTACTGAGATTTTCTTGAAATAATTCCTATTAATCAAGTTGGGTAACCAGGAATGTTTTTTTTGTCAGATTTTGAACAATTCATATATGAAAATGGTAATGATTCACATAATTTGCCATGTTCTTTTTGATATTCATTGTGTTAGCCTGACCTAGATGTAGCACTCTCAGAAGGTTGTGGGTTGAAGCCCCGCGTCGGGACTTGAAAGAACACAATCTAAACTGATGCTCCAATGCAGTGCTGTGTGGGGGGCGTTGTATGTCGGAGGTTCTGTCCTTCGGGTGAGTCGTTAAACCGAGATCCCGTCTGCCTGTTCGATTGGACATTGAATCCCATGTCACTGTTCAAAATGAAGTGTCCTGGCCAACAATCCACCAAATAAAATCGGTGACTGATAGCTGTTGAGAATATGTCTCGGTGCACTTCACAGGATTTTACTGTAAAGTGTACTGAATGTATTTTGTAAGTTAAAGTGCATTGTAAAGTTTTAAAACATTCAACCAGAATTAATATTTTTTGAGGGAATTATTCGCAGGATATCACTGCCATATGCAAGAGCCAATTAGCTTGGCAGCGTGTTGTGCTTTAGCTTGCTGTGGGCCTTTCCTGCTCGGAGGATGCCCCAAGCCATTCCGGTCCCTGGTATAACACCGTTAGCTTTTTCACTTTGTGAGTGGAATCTGATGAAATATTAAAATCCTGATAAGGTGACCAGCTATATAAGTTGATCGTTGTTCCCCAGCATTATTTTCTCACAGCCTCAAATGATATAGCACATGTTTCATTTTAATTATTCAAGTTATTTTTTCCTTCTTTTGGTGAGTGTCCAACAGACTGTGATTAGACCTATTCAGAGGTGGATTCATTAACAGGCGTTGCTGCTTCTCAAGAGATTAAAAATTCATGTGGATAACTAACTCCCTGATGGGTAAATGAATTGCATGTGTGGCACTGAGCCACGCAGATTAAGGAAGGCCAAGCTGGGGAACAAAAATAAATCACCCAATGACCCTTGCTGGAATATACCATGTGTGGATACAAGATGAGAATGGATCAATCGCTGTTCTAATGCCCCCATGATTAAATAGAGTGCTGTGTGGGCTCAAATCTGGGGTAGGTCTTGATATGTTTCTAATGTTATGGAACCGTCGGGGGGGTTGGGGGAAGGAGACCGATATCCATTGGGATATATGATTCACTAAGACCATCTTGAAGTTGTTTCAGATGTGGCAAGTATCTGTGTTCAAAAGAAAATCACAGTAGAAAAATGAATCCAATTACTGAAGTCGGTCATTTTTATCACTAAAACAATTGCACATTCGTTCTTTTAATTAGAAAGAAAACCTGGCAATGAAATCACCAGATTAGAAACATTCTTGGAGGATTTTGAAATGGGTGGAGCCTGGCTGTTTTTCATGGTTTGCCAAATTTGTCATATTTTCTGTTGCAAGCAGGAAAAAAAAGTGTCATTTTCACTTTATATTGAAGGGCGCGTCATGTGAGCAGTTTCAAGAAGAATATGTATTGTCCAGTATCTTTTTATATGTAATGAACAAGTCATTTCAAGAAGAATGTGTATTGTGCAGTGCCTTTTATATGGAGTGAACAAGTGATTGTGTGAGGATTTGGCCTGACCTTGAAAAATGTGTTAGTTTTTTTGGCCAGAAATTCAATGCAGCCATGAATTACCTTAATCTGTTCAGAAAGCTTTTGATCAACACCTCAGGAAGGGCAGACACACACAATGTTTTGTACATGTTCATTGTGCTCTCTGAACATGTGTAAATCTTGATAATTTTTTAATTGTTTTTGGTTAGACTCATTTTAAACTATTCTCCACATTTAATTAGCTGGATTCCAAATCGCTTTCATGCTTAAACTCTCAATTCTTTTTAATATAAAATTACAATTGATTCCACCAATTGATCAGCGACTTAAGTCAGTTACTGGCAAGCTCACTATTAATAGATTGACAGCATTTTGCATACAATTCAATCATTAATCTTCACAACTCAGTTACACTTCAAGACTTTGGTATTAAGGCCTTGTTCTAGAGATCTCAGCTCATTCTGGAGCCCCGATTCAATTACTCTGTATGTGAAAATGTGTTCAAAGCCTTGGTATCAAGTTTGATATGTTGCAGCTGTGACAGCAAATGGCCACCATCTGTCTGTAAAAGTCTGAGATTTAGGAACGAGAAAATAGTTTTGAAGGCCGCAAGCTTAAAAGAACACTTTTCTGATGGCAAGCTGTGTTTCTCCCCCCCCCCCCCCCCACTCCTGTTGTATGGAGATGTAGAAAAACATGCAGTGTACATGCAATCAAATTGATTCCAGGTTCAATGCTACATATTCACACCGGACGGAGCACTGCCATAAGCAACTGATGAAATAAAATCGGGCGTAACTATTTAGGTGGTGCCGGGAACACTTTCTCCAGCAGGAGAGCAAAAATAACTGCGGCCTGCTTGCCTCCTCCCTTGCCACCAGCTTTTTTTTCTACACAGAATTAAAGTGTTGTCTCTGTACATCAGATGTGGAGAAAAGCTATTGCTTTAGATTTGGGCGGCGATCGAATGTCTTATCTTTCTTGGTAGAGGTTACACAGGGTGTAGGATTCCTCAGTCTTTCTTCGGTGGGGGAGCAGTAAAGTTAGCAAATGTGCTATTAAATAATTACAGTCTACTGTTAGGAAGAGCAAAGAGCAATCAACCGTATAACGAGAACTATATTCCCAGGTAGCTAGCTATATTTCGAAGTGTTTCATTAGCAAGTAAGATGAGGTTAGACGTATTTTTAAACCACTACGGATTTAATTCAGTGTTTGAAGAGTAAGCGATGTGAATGCTGCATTTCGGATTGCCTACCAAACAGGTGGAATTTATTCAGTATGATTTTTAATTCGATTTAGAAATTTGATAGCAGTCAAAAGGGTTTGACTGTGGTTTATGTGGTTGCAATACAAACATCCATTGTTGACATTTTCTACAAGAAAAAAATGTGCTGACTTGGTTTCTTCCATTTTCACTTTTCAAGAGTAGTGAGGAAAATATCCCTTTTCTGTTTAAAAAAAAAGGAAAATAACCAATTTTTGTTCATATTTGCCAGTTGATGGGCTTTATTGGCAAAATGTTGCACGGGGCATACAATTTTCAGGGAAGGCACAGTGTTGCAAATCAAATAATTACAGGGCACACTTCGGCAGCTAGTTCTTCTTTCAACATTTATTAGCTTCATAAATCGTGCAGTTTATTCCACATTCCCAGTGTGAAAAGGAACCATTAGTGTTCTCATTCAGAATGTTTTCCTCTGGCGTTCAGAGCAATAAAACCTAAATGCTTTAATAAAACCGATCAAACCAAAATGAATCTGGTGCAACGTAGCCTGGGAGAAAGAGTCCTTGCGTGTTGACGCATGCTTTAATCACAATTTACCATTACAGTCACCATAAATGCTGACTTTGCTGATTATCTATCAAAAGAAGTTACTTGAAAGAGTGGATGTAATTAGTCTAAATATTTAGTAACTGTGTTTGCGTGTGATCGACTGGACACCACACCTTGTCTAAGTGCTGGAACATTAATTCAGAATGCTGAGAAATTGTGGAACAGTTGGCACACCTACTTCAAAGGAGATTAAAGCACAGACATTACCTTTCATGTTGATTGCTAAATGTCAGGCTGCTTTAAATGAAAATCTGAGGCATCACATTGTAATGCAAAGGCTGGATTTATGAATCAAACCAATACTTTGGCTGAATCAGTTTTCTTTGGTACTAGTTACGAAGTAGCTTGTGTTAATGTTTGAAGATACTTCATTGGTTAATTGCATTATCTTAACTGGTATCGCTTTTGTTTGCTCAATTATAAGTTGATTGTAGAAAATCAGATTTCACTGATTGATGTTTTGCAACTACATCTGTTTGCACGCAGAGAGAATTGCTTGGAATAATTTTGAAAAAGCAATAATCTTCTTTCTTCTCCCCCCACACACAAAAAAAACTTGCAGTGACCATGTATTTCAAATTTTATGTTTCAATGTACTGTACTTTGAGATGCAGCTTCTTAAATGAATACGTTTCAACATGTATGTAATCCTGAACTAAATGTTCACATGAAAACATCCGAGTACGGGATCTTGTTTAGAAGCAGCCTCGTTGATCCCATATGGAAAATTGCAGCAATGCAGTCTTAAATGAAGTATTTCCTCTGCATAAAAACGTTGTGAATCTTGCCCTGTCTGTCTGAATAAATTGATTACCAAAAGGACCACGTTTTGTAATCTCTCACATTGCTTAGTAAACCTGCTGCACAGAATTAGTGTGGAATTATTTGAATTTTGGAATTTTTCAGGGTTGTGGTATTACTGCCAGTTGGAAAATTTAATGATATATTTATTCAGTCTTGCTTTTCAATCCTAAGCGGAATATCAATACGTTAGCAAAAATAAAATGCCGTTTGAAATGAAGATAATACCACTAAGCTCACCGTTGTACATCATTCCCTCTCTAAAATAAGGGCAAGAAAATCCCATTGTACCTAATTTATTTGAAGCTTGTATTTTCTGACGTGTGTGATTATTTGTAATGGGTAAGTCTCCAGTGGTACTGCTGATATTGGCTTTCCATTAATATGGGACACACCTCGTCTCCGCCTGCTGAAATCTTGCAGTCACATTTGGCAACTCAGCTGAATACGAACTGGGACTCGCTTCTCGATGCTCAGCTCTCCACTGAGCTGCATCACCTCCAAACCTTTCTTTACAATCGTTTTTTTTTCCACCCTCCCTTCGCCACCCCACCCACTTACCTCTTCAGGAGGGTTTAGTTCATGTTCAGGCCCAGTTACGGGGATTCTAATCCTCCATTAATTTGGCATTGTTCATTCCAGTGCCAGACGCTGTGCAATATGTAGGCATCACGACCAAACCCAGTTTCCCATCTCCCGTCCTCCCGACATGAAAGGCGCTATATAATTACAATTTGCTGTTGACGTCTCCTGGCAGACTCCACGGCAAGGCTTGTTAGACAGAGTCGACAATGAAAACCACGGTTGAAATGTTTTGGTGCTCACTTGTTCAGGCTTGCCGAAGCATTCTTCATTTTTGGACAACTCTGCTTAAGCATCGTTGAGCTGCGTATCCTGCATCTCTCTGTAAAACCCTCACGTTTTACACACTAGCGGATTATTCTTACAAAATAGCCAGGTGGATGCAGCTCGGCTGTTGTTATAACGGGCTGTGTGTTGTTCCACGTGATCCGTTTAATCATTCGTTTAACCTTTAACGGGAAAACCGAGCCCCCTCGTGATCTTTCTTCTCCGGAAAATTTGCTTGATTTTGTAAAGTAAAATACAGAATATCTTTATCTGTTTGAAGGCAGCTGCTGTCGAGAGTAGAAATGGTCAATGATTTTAGTGATACTGGGAAAAAAAATTGCACATGTCTGACGTAGAATCAAATTAAGCCTCTGATCACTCGGGCTGCTCGCAGCTGCAGTCACATACTACCGCTGCAAATCCTTGACGGCACACGGCCATTTTAATGCAATTGAGGGGAAATAAATCACTAGCCAGGCAGACCCTACAGGAAAAGACATTTGTCTCGTGTTCTGTCACCTTGCTAATAGCATGCAACTGCAGCTCTGTTAGAAAATTGTAAGCGCTCATTGACTGCGGCTTCTGATGTAGGAGGAAGTTTGTCAGATAAGGTTTCGGCTCTGCTGTTTCATTGTTCCCTTTTGTTTCGCTGCGGTAACACAATACAATAATACAGCCACCAGGGAGGTGTGCTCTTACTGTAGACTATTGTACCAGTCTGCTCCCAAATTACTGTTCTCGCTGCTCACCTAAGCAGATATATTTATTCTAATCTGATGAACCGCAGTTGTAGTTGGTTCCTTGTGTACAGCATTGTTAAAAGTAAAATGGATGCACAAATTGACTGGGTATTTTTTGGACTGGAAATTAAGTGGCTGCCCGCAATACGTCTATGGTGAAATAAATTGGGTAATTTACCTTTCAGTTTTAGCTTTTATTTGTGGCTGCAGTAATTCCGCATATTTCTTCTGTTGGAGGGAATTGTCTAGTTTGTGAATTCTCATTATTGTAAACGCCTTGTGCATGATGACCATAATAAAAACGGACACACATGCACACCTACAGCTACTGTTGTCAACAAATAAGAAATTGCATCCGAACTAATGTGTTTTTATTTTTTTGTTCCAGAACAATCAGGTTGTGGAGCTGCAGAGAAATCGTCTTCGTGATGATATTAAAGAATACAAATTCCGTGAGACACGGCTTCTGCAAGATTACACTGAACTCGAAGAGGAAAACATCTGCCTCCAGAAACAAGTATCAGTCCTTAAACAAAGCCAGGTGAGGAATAAGGTTATCCCTGTATTATGCATTCAGAATTTTACCTACTCTCAGCATAAAGTGATGCATAAACGGGAGTGAATGGCATTGGGAATTGGCGTACATGTATATATATATATGCGTACACAGGGGGAATGGAATATCACATTTTTTTAATGTAGTTCTTTTAATTTGTTTTTCTTCTACAAAGTCCGAACAGGCATCAATAGTAAGTCATCCTTCCCATATTTAACACTGTAGGTAGCGTAATGGAAAAGTGGAGGCAGACAAGTTTTCGAAGGGGCATACAAGTGCAGAAGGTGCTTTTCCTTCAAAAAGGAAAATGATTCCAAATCATTACTTCCCCTTTTCAAAAAATATCTTTGCTTTTGATACAGTTCTGAGACCCATCTCAGTTTACATGAGTAGCTGTTCACATCCATAGCGACTCCATTAAGTTTAATTGGAGTGGGCGGTTTGTTTGGCCCTGGGAGTCAATTTGAAGCCATACGACCATTGGAAATGTTCAGTGTCAACTAGGTATTGTTAGAAGTTGCAACGAAGCTGATATTTACCAGAATATCAATAAAAAATAATTGAAGAGAGAAAGGTTTCCAGCTTTGCTCTACCTTCATTTTTAATGCCAGTTTTAAATGTTCTCCGCAATCACAGGCGTCGCAAAATACCAATTACAAACCTTGGTGGTGTTGGTGTTTTTGAACAGGATGTATGTTCCCCACAGAGATCAAAGGCCTGAGGCCGCCCTGACTTGTGATTATTTTCTTTGCCTTTTCCCTTTTGAAACCATTAGTCAATCACTTGATCCTTTCAGCTGGAAGTAAATATTACGAATAAACTGCAACTTGAATCTGGATTATTGAGGTTCAGGTTTCCCCTGCTAAAGTATTAAATCGAGGGTCATTTTAAGTTGTTTTTCACTGAGTGGAAATCAGTTTTGCTGAGGATGGATTTGAAATGTGTAGACAATTACCTTTTGAAGAGTTGCCAGATTTTTTGTTCTACACAATTTAATTTACAGTCTAAACAAAGTAAATTAAAACCTCATATACAAATACTGTTATAAAAATAGCTATCCTTCTCTCAAGAGGAAATGCTCGTTAAAATACTGCAAGTTAATAGATCAACAACAACAAATTGCAGGTCAGGAAAACATGCAGGTGTGTCCGTACATCAGACTGGCTGTTAACTATGGTTTCTCCTCTGCAATATAGTGACACTGATTGAAGGTGGCACAGAAATGACCACCAAATTGATCTAAATTTCAGAAAATCCTGTCTCTCATCTTGTACAAAAATATTCTTAATTCTTGGCTATGTGTACAGAATCTCTTTGTACTAGACTGTAACATCGACTTCAAAATAATTCCGTAAATGTGCAGGTTAAAAGAGCAGTATTTTATTATTTGTTAACCATTCTGCCTGCACAGCAGATGTACATTAAATTGTATGTCTGAGTTGTAAATCTAACCTCCACATGAAATGAAAGGACTATAATAATAATCCTTGTATTTGCTACAATTCAAACAGGGATAGAAATGGCACAGTATAATAACTTTCAGTCTGTTCAATGTTTACAGCCTCCCTCAATTCTGAGTACAGAGACCTAGACTTTGAGCTTGTTGAAGAATAATGCCAGGTCAAATAGAGGGGGAGACAGCAAAGGGTGAACGAGTCGTGCTTTTTGTCAACCTGTAAAGCAGTGTCATTGGAGTCCTTAAACTGCTCCCTTAAACCAAATAACACAACCTTAATAGGTAAAGAAATAACTACAAAACACTGACTGAAGTTGAAAGCATCACATTCGTTTCACGGTGTGCACAATTTGTAATAGTTTGTTAGAGATTTTCAGCTATTTCCACTACCTATTTTTAAGTCTGAAGTTGTTCCTTATTGCATAGGAAAATGCTGCTGTGATGCTAGTGGGGCTTTTCCGGAGCTTGCTTTCTGCCATTAACTTTATCTAATAGGTTAAAATACCTCGCTTGTCATGCACAGAAAATGCAGTTCCAATATTATGGAATTGATTTGTAACTTTGGTTTGTTGTAGGTTGAATTTGAAGGGCTCAAGCATGAAATTAAGCGACTCGAGGAGGAAACGGAGTTCCTCAACAGCCAATTGGAAGATGCCATCAGGCTGAAAGAGATAGCAGAACGACAGCTCGAGGAATCCTTGGAGACCCTGAAGACTGAGCGTGAGCAGAAGAACAGCCTGCGCAAGGAGCTGTCCCACTACATGAACATCAGCGACTCCATGTACAACAGCCAACTGAACATCTCGCTGGACGGGTTGAAGTTCAGTGACGACTGCAATGAACCAAACAATGACGAAATGGTCAATGGTTATGATCACAATAGCTTCAGCAAAATGAACGGTGACAACAAGATGTCCACACCCAAGAAAAATGATACGTTCAAGCCAGCACCAAGCTTGGTGTCCGATCTGCTTAGTGAACTGAACATTTCTGAAATACAGAAGCTGAAACAGCAGCTTATGCAGGTACGGTGACAAACAATGTTAAATCAGTTGCTCTCCAACAATCTGTTAGTGCTCTCGGCACAATGCATCATTCAGAAGTTAAGACGAGCAAACTTGATTGCTTAACTTTACCTTAACTATTGGTGTAAGAAAAATGGAAGCTATTTTTGATATTGATTGAAATATTTATAATGTATTCCATTTTTAGTTGGCATAATTGGCCAAAGCAGTTCTTTTTTTTTAAAGGTTGACATTTTTTATTCACATTGTTCCTTAGATTTATTGTCGAGTTTCTGCAGCCTTAATACTCTAATACTGCTTCAAAATGCTCTGTATTTATTGAAGTTTAGTTTTCTGCAAAGCACCAGAAGTTTTAAGATCTGTTCTTTTCAAACGATGCATTTCAGATGGAAAGAGATAAGAATTCACTGCTCACCAATCTCCAGGAATCTCAAAAGCAGCTGGAACATACACGGGGAGCTTTGTCAGAACAGCATGAAAAGGTTGGTAGACTCACGGAACATGTCACCGCCATGAAGAAACTCCAGGCTAGCAAAGAACGTCAGACCGCACTCGACAATGAAAAAGAGCGAGACAGTCACGAAGAAGGGGATTACTATGAGGTGGACATCAATGGCCCTGAGATCCTGGAGTGCAAGTACAAAGTAGCAGTCGCTGAAGTCACTGACCTTAAGGAAGAACTGAAAAACCTGAAGACCAAGTATTCCGAATCCGAGGACAAATATGAGGCAGAGAAGGCCAAGCACGAAAACGAGTCGCAAATCTTGACAGAAAAACTAGGGATATTGGAGAAAGCCAACAAGCAAGATCGAGATCAGGTTGTCTGCCTGGAAAAGGAGCTGAAGAAAGTAAGCGAAGTGGCCGAAGGAACACAAGGGAGCCTAACTGTGGCTCAAGATGAGCTGGTCACTTTCAGTGAGGAACTCGCTAACCTGTACAACCATGTGTGTATGTGCAACAATGAGACGCCCAACAGGGTGATCCTGGACTATTACAAGGAAGGCAAAGGTGTTCGCAGTAGCCCAGAGGCGAGAGGGAGAAGGTCGCCAGTTCTGCTGACTAAGGGAATTTTCCCAGCAGAGATGGGAAAAATTGAGAATGGTCACGGTGATCATTCAGCCTCCCCAGTTTCACCCTTGGCGTCGCCAGTCTCCAGCGATCCACGCAAGGAGCCCATGAACATTTACAACCTGGTTGCCATCATCCGTGACCAGATCAGCCACTTGCAGAAAGCAGTGGATCGATCAACAGAACTGTCCAGGCAGCGAGTTGCAACCCATGAACTGGGGCCAGTGGCGGACAAGGACAAAGAAGTGTTTATGGAAGAGATTCTGAAACTCAAGTCCCTGCTGAGTACCAAGAGAGAACAAATAGCAACACTAAGGACTGTACTCAAAGCGAACAAGCAGGTACGGGGGAACACTTCTATGTGCTCGAGAAGAATGGGTAAAGCTTAGTGTTAGTAGTTTTGTCCATAAAAACACACCGTCACTACACTTTACAGTATATTCTGTGACACCCTTTGAGACGTCTCGAAGACGTGATAAGGCGCTAAATCAAATGCAAGGATTAATATTATTCATCTAATAAAATCTTTTAATTTGTTAAAAACAATTGAATCTTAGCCAATTTTGAGCTGTCCAAGTGATAGTCATACGTAGCTTAATAAACTAGCTTTGGGAACAGCTAATGATATCTTGCTGGAATATGATTCAAAATGTACGTGGTATTAATTGACAGTGAAAGACTTTTTTTAGAAAAATCTCTGTTCTTTTAGACTGCAGAGGTCGCCCTTGCAAATCTGAAGAGCAAATATGAAAACGAGAAGGCTATGGTGACCGAGACCATGATGAAACTACGCAATGAGCTCAAGGCTTTGAAAGAAGATGCTGCTACCTTCTCATCTCTGAGGGCAATGTTCGCTACAAGGTAAAGGCACGGTTATCTTAGAATCTAATTAATTTTGGTGAAACGCATGGGTTCAATTTTCGCTCGATCCTTTTCATTTCATTTACCACTAAGTCTCTTATGATTACATATCCTTCAACTGGTGCGAGGGCAGGCAACTTGAGGTGTTCTTCAACTGAAGGGGAATAGGCAGGCAACTTTCTCCTACATCTGGGTATGGGTAAGTGGCAGCTGGGTGTATGGAGGAGCATCGACTTCCATTCCAATTTTTATACACTTTCCCCTTTCCCTCTGGCCATGTGGCTTACCTTTAAAAACGTGACTTAAAATTGTGAACTCTCTTTATAAATCCATGTTCTGCCACGACTCGCTGCAGTCTGTTGATAAACCCTGACTGATTACCTCCCGAGCTTTGAAACGCTTAGCTTTACAGTATCTTCATTACAAATTTATAACCAGCATTGTGAATAGCCTGCCAACACTCACCTCATAGCTGAAGGCTAGTCATAGAGGAGGGAAAATAATCCAGTGAAGTAGACGGTGAAATTTTCTCTCTCTCTTCTCCCCACCCTGAAAATCTCAGGTGATTGATTCATGGTGAGAGGATGGAATTAAAAACTAAAGTATATAATTTTTTGTCTCTTGATGGTGCCTTTAATTAAAAAGTAAAGCAGTTTTTGATGTTGCTGACTATTGTTATCTCCTCGCTGTTCGATTGCACCAATATATAGCGAACTTTGGAGCCATTTTGCCCCCGGTGTGCATGCACAGTCAACATGCCAAATATATTATTCAAATTGCAATTAAAATTCCTATATAATCTATAAGATGATGAAGTCTGATGCTTAGCTTAAACTTGTCACCCTTCAGGAATTAGTCCTTAAATTAAACAATTTAATTTTGCTGGAGCATTTTTCGAGTTTGTGGGATTGAAAGTCTTGCCCCCATATCTTTCATAGCAATAAATGATTAATGTGTTAAGGAGTCAGCTTCTCAACTTATGTCCGAGTAAGAAAATATCTGCATCAGTGTTCATAAAATGGCACCTGTGATTTAATTGAGTTAACTATCTACTGTCTACCAAGATCTACTTTTTTCTTCGAAAGGTAGAGAGAGCACTGCCCTCATTTAGCACTTGCTTCTTACTTTCCTTACCATCAGGCCAGCCAGCAGGCAAAACTTACTGAAATGAGAAGTTACAGAGTACAAGATCTGTTGAGGAACATCAATGCATTATGGGGTGGGGGGGGGGGGCTCTGATCCTGCCGTATTGCCCCAAATGTAAACTAGAGAAAAGGGAAAATCTGAGGGAGAGAAAGTCTGGCAAGCTCATCTGACACATCTCTGAGCAAATGACTTGATGAGAATATAGCAAAGGTCTAAGAGTAGGTTCCTTCAATTGTCTCTTTGTTCCAAATTTGACCTAAAGATCAAAATGAGAGAGGGGGGAAAATAATGGAGAGAAAGGCTAATATACTTTTCCTACGAAACCACTGGGCATCTCGTCATTTGTAGCGATCATTTGAGGGGGCATGACGGGACCGTGTATTGGAATATATCCTCTGCGTGTGAACCTAGAAGGTGAGTGAGGTGAATGTCAGCAGGCTGCGATAACCAAACCTAGATTTCGCACACTTTCCAGCAGGATAGTGATAAGGAACAGAATCCGTCACTCTTTTCTCCTCCTCAGCTCAGGTAAGTCAAAGGGTGACACTGGCGTGCTCCAAGCTGTACCATGGCCGAGATCAGCTGAAGCACAGAAAGGGAATCAAACCTGCAACCTTCCTTGCCTGTGTAGTCTTGAGCCTCAAGTTGAACCTACCAGAATGGTGGTGGGAGGGAGGGGAATTGTAACTCAANTTTTTAGTGGTGCATCATGCTCCTCCACAGTCAACAGGAAGTGTGATTCATGTGAGTTGTGTCAGTGCCTAAAATTATTTTCTTCAAAGATGAAACCAGCAGGATTCCTATCCGAAACACACAATGTTTGTTCTAAGTGCCTCCTTGAAGCTTCACCGATTTAATAAGGCTACGAAATGTCTTCATCAATCAAGCGATTACCAACAGGAAGTGTATGTGTTCAAAAGAGCTAACTAAGTACACACCATCCGGTCTCATTAATTATAAGTATCATTCATCAAGCCCATCAACCAATATTTGCGTTTTTTCAAACCAACAGAATATTTTAAGCCATTTTACTCAGCCTTTGAGTGAATTTGGATATTTTGATGGAAGCCTAAAACTTAAAACAGTTCACGATTCCTTTTATGGTGTTGATTTCACTCTTCAATGCTTCAATTATGACGCCTTCTGTTTTTATTCTGCAATTTAAAATGTTTTGCGCTCACTGATTTAGGCTGGCTGGGTTGTCATGACATCTTTTTGTTTTCGTGGGGGGGGAATTGATGTGAAGGACTGACCCCGTGCTTTTATAGAAGCAGGAAGTAGATGAGGTAGATAGAAACACATTAATTGTCTTGGATCATGAGAGGAGAACCAGAACCTAAAATTAAAGTTTCGATCAGGAATAGAGATTAGGATTTGGTTTCCCCCTAAAAGTTGCTCATATGTGTAACCGCCTCCTGTCAAAATCAGTTGATACTCTCAATTAACACCTTCATACACCTGGAATCATTGCTGGAAAAGAATGCTGAAGGAAGAAATAAGGATTATACAGACTGAGATTGACATTCTCCGAGGAACTGAATTGTTTGTGTTGCTGCAAAGGAAGTACCTGTTGAGGAAAAGTTGTACAGTGGAGATGAACAGCGAGACGAATATATAATCTGAGTTTATTTGGAAGCAGATTCAAAAGCAGCTTTCAAAAGGGAATTGGGTAGGTTGTTGAAGAGGAAACATTTGCAGGGCTGTGGGGTAAGAGCAGGACTAGTTGGATGGCTCTTTCAAAGATCCCGGCACAGGCACGATGGGCTGGATGGGCTCCTTCTGCGCTGTAACATTCTATGACTCTATTCTTCAGCGCTGTTAGAGTTCAGTGCCTGTACAACACTTTGTTTTGGCAGGCAGGGAGTGAGCTGAAGTCCAGAATGGGTAGCTTTGTGTGGCTGGAAAACCAAATAGCTGTTTCTTCCATTGTGCTTTTGTTTTCATTCCAGCAGCAGTTTCTCATGAGTCATGGGGAGGGGGTGGTGTTTTCAGAGAAATTAAATCAGTGAGGATGCATCAGCGAAGAATTAAAGCGAAAACTCGGTACTCAGTCTAAACTTCTAGTGTTCGGAAAGCGAATTGTAGTTTTCCTATTTATATTGACGGGTCAGCAAGTTTAACAGTCCAAGTGTTCTTGAATTGGGCAAAATGTCTGCCAGGCGTAGCATCAAGTTTCCTGACAGTATATCCTGTAAGAGCAAGTGCTTTGTCAGATAAGACATGAAAGACTCGAGAGGGTACACTATTTTAGCTTTAATGCCATTAATGAACAGGTGAACAAATCAGTGCTCAATAGTCCCAGTTATACTGGTACCTGCAGTCAGTTCGTATTAAGCTTTCATCTGGAATAAAGTTAAGCCATCGCATTCTTACCAGTCAAGTGAAGCCCAAAGATTTTGTAGATATGAATGCATTTTATTTAAAAGTAATGCAACGTCTTTCAAGATGCAGTGCGTGTATTGCTAGACTGAGGGTTGACCCAGAGAATTTAGCACCGCTGGACCTTTTCCAAAAGCTACAGCAAATGTCAGGGGGCTATTTCGCCTTGCAGCCAACACGAATGAGCCTGACGCAGTTTTCACCTGATATTCATATAAGAATTTCGGAATGGCAATTGGGACCTAGCTGTGCTGCTGTAAAATGTAATATTTTCGGGAAACCAAGTAAGCTCTAGTCAGGTTCCTGTAGCTCAGTGGTTAGAGCACTCGCTTTGCAAGTGAGAGACCTGAGTTCAATTCCAGGCAGAGGGTGAAACCTCGGGCAAGTTTCCTTACTCCACATAGAGCCTAATAATAATCCCTCCAAAACCAAAAACAATAATAAATTGGTCATTTTCAATCTACGACTGTTTGTGGGACATTGCTGTGCGCAATTGGCTGCCGCGTTCGCCCACAAATATACAGTCAATTCACTTTACAGTGTGTTCTGTGAAGCGCTTTGGGACGTCGAGAAGACGTGAAAAGCTCTATATCAAATGCAAGGATTATTATTTTTATAAACGTTGCTTTTGACTTTAAACATGTAGCATAAAACAATATCGAATATAACATTTAGACTTTTACTCTACTTTTGTATACAATATATCACGTCTTCCCGACACGAGCTATTATTTCTATACAAATGTGAATTTGTATTGCATATCAGATTTTAGTAGCTTGACGTGGGTGCTTTTTTACGATTTGAATTCCATTATGCAGTCTCTCCAGCCAGTGTGTGTTTTTTTGTATCAGACACATCGTTAGCGGTCAGCGGGCAAGCCAGCGGATGGCGTTCAAATCTCTCTTTCACGATTCGCGGCGGCTTACGCAGTAACTGTGCGAGAGAGAGAGAGAGAGAGAGAGCGCAGGAGCTTGCTGAAGGATGCGTGTATTTTCATTGAATGTTTTTTGTGTGTGTGTGTGTGTGTGTGTGTGTGTGCGGCTTCCTCAGCTGCCTTGTGTGACACAGCTGCCTGCGCGCTGCGCCGCACGTTGCGACCGAGCAGATTGGCCGTTCGGTGCCACAGCAGCCGTGGCGGTGGCGGTGGCGATTGGCGGCGGCGGTGGGTTATGCAGTAGCGCCACCTACCGTTTAAACCGTGCAAGTGACGCTTGCATTCCGGTGCTGTGGAGCGACTCTCCAAACCGTTGATCTTGTGGCAGGGTTAGGGTTTTTTATTGTGTGGGGAGGGGGGGTGGTTGTGGGGGCTTAACCATTTTAGTTATGAAAACCCACTGACCGGTAATCGCGCAACGCAGGAACATGTCCGTCGTTCCTCACGGCATTAGCATTTCATTATCAAGACGGCCACAAGTGTTTTTATCGCGTGAAACGATGACAATTAATCGTTATAAATAAATAAATAAATTAAGGGTGCGTCGCTAACCCGGAGTTGTACTGTGGATATTTATTGATGGCATTAAGTGGTCTCTAAAGTTATAAGCCAGTATATCCTGTATGTTTTCCAATTTGGAAACATTGTGTGTATCCAAATTTCTCATGTAAATAATTTCTCATGTAAATAATAAACAATAAATAATAGGTCAGGGCGAAACCTTGGGCAAGTTTTCTTACTCCACACAGAGCCTAATAATAATAATCCCTCCAAAACCAAAAACAATAATAAATTGGTCATTTTCAATCCACGACTGTTTGTGGGACATTGCTGTGCGCAATTGGCTGCCGCGTTCGCCCACAAATATACAGTCACTTCACTTTACAGTGTGTTCTGTGAAGCGCTTTGGGACGTCCTCCTGACGTGAAAAGCGCTATATCAAATGCAAGGATTATTATTATTATTATTATTTATTATTATTGCACGTTGAAACCTACTTCAGAAAACGAAACCCTTCGACAAAGTGCAATTGCTTAACGTTTTTTTTTTGCCGACACCTCTTCGCAAGGACCATGTTGTTGAGTTCCCGTTTTAAGGAGGGCAGATTTCCAGAGGGAGAGAATTGTGAGCCTTGTCAGTAAACCTCGCTTTCCTCTCCCATTGTTTAGCTGTGGAGCGTGCAGTTCCCTGGTGGAAGCAGCAGGTGAACCTCTGAACTGGAGTCGGGTCTGTTTCACTGTTTTATTCCTGACACCGATTCATACCTCTTTAAACGCTGCAACATTTTATTCAGCACATACGGTCTCTTATTGTCATGTGCCCTTTCAGTGTAGATGTTGATGCTTCTTCCTTAAGTGCGGCTATTTTCAGTGTGTTTGGATATTTCCACATCTCTGCTTGTTTACACTACTGATAACATTGTTGTTCCTGAACATAATCATTGAAAGCATTGCTTCCAGCTTAGAACCATAGCCTTCACGTACATAGAATGTGGATCATTGTTGGAACGGAAATGTGTTACTATTTACAGTGTATGTATCCTTGGCTCATATGCTTTTGCTTGGTTTTTGTTTGGCAATAGTTTATGTAGTAAACAGGGCTACTGTGGATAGAAAACAAAAGCACTGTTTCTCCACCAATCATTTCTGATCATAGCAGAAGTCGTCTGCAAATGATCTGAACTGCATAAGTGTTGATCTCGCAGGTTTGTGTTGTAGGATTAAAATGCTATACTGTATCTGTCTTGTAGGTGCATGTATTGGTTTTAAATTTACATCGAGATGTTTTAAATAATGCAAAAAAAAATTCTTGATTTCTTGACTGCGAAATGTAGTCGTTTATGTATTAATTGGCCAACAGGTCTTAAATGACATAGACCAAACCAGAAAATTTTACAATAATATTAATAGTAATCTTTGAGACGTCTCAAAGCGCTTCACCAGAATATACTGTGAATGAATTGACTGTATTTTTGTGGGCAAAATGCAGTGCCAATTTATCAGTGGAGTAAACTGGCTGAACTGGAATGATTATGAGAAAAAGTCAGTTGCCACTCAGAAATTAAGCCAGCCGAATGATTTTGTATTCCAGATGTGATGAATACGTGACACAGCTGGATGATATGCAGCGTCAGCTGTCTGCTGCTGAGGATGAGAAGAAGACGTTGAACTCTCTGCTTCGCATGGCCATTCAGCAGAAACTGGCACTGACACAGCGGCTCGAGGACCTGGAGTTCGACCACGAGCAGAACAGGCGTGGCCGAACCAAATCGGGGACAAAACCCAGAGTTAACAATCCCAGTGTAAGTCACATGCGCTCTTGTGCTGTCAGACAAGAGGGAATCGTTGTCAATAACCAGGTGTTTTGCAGTGAAAAGTATAAAATCTACTGTGACTGACCGGTGGTACCTAGAGGCTCACAAGAAGTCTGGTAGTAAAGTCTAGGTGTAACACTTTGGTGTTCAGTGCAGCGTTAACGCCCCTATTTTTAGCATTGCAGTGAGTTGATCTGTATTGGGTTGTATGTTAACCAGTACATAATGTATGGAGATGAAAGTAGCTGCATTCGTTAACGTAAATACTTTGTGATGTGGGGGCTTTAACTGTTCGTACCCATGCATATATATGGGTAGCATGGGTATCTCTGAGGTGTCGTTCATCTTGTCAGCCTGCTACAGTACCACTGTCTGAAGTCTGCACAGCACAAATGTGCTTTTATTTCCTCCCGGCTTTAGTTTGCACTTCACTTTGTAGACGAAGGGGGGGTGTTAAGATTTTAACAATGTTGCACATGTTTACAGTATTGATATATGCAAATTCACGCCATCCCAATTCCAACTGCGTTTCAACGATTAACTTTTTTTTTAACCAAAATGATGCTCACGTTGAGATGCAGTTTTCTAAATGTTTTAATGAGAACATTTGTAATTGTGCTTTCCTATCGTAACGGTTCTCGGAGTTTACCATTTACTAACGCTGTTCTTAAAACTTGAAAGTGGGTGAAGGTTATTCGGTATCCGAGAGATACTCTCAGCTTCAATTTGATATTTCGGCTCCAGTATGCACACACTAGAATTCCAAGAAAATGCAATGCTTCTCTGTGTTTATGGTTAAATGCTGTTTGTTCATGTATTCTAATCATTTCAAAGATGTCTCCAAAAACTCTGATGGCAGGGCTCTGCATTAAGTGCCCACTGGTCAGGTCTTAGGAAAAGAACACAAATGTTGAATGCAAAAAAAAATTGATGAGTTGAAGTGCTCGTGCTAATTAATATATGCTCTGCAACTTGTGAATCAAAACTACTGAAATTTAACAGTATGCAAACATCCTGGCTGCAAATAGTAAATCGAATGCATATCCTATTTGCAGGATGAGAAATTTTGTAAAATGCAGGGGATGTCATGATTGCAAAGAAAAAATGTGGTTTGTTAATGTAAAGCCCTGTGTTGGATTGTCTGTCACTAACCATTTGCTTTGTGTAATCGTGAATCCTACGTGAATCCTAGGGGAAATGTACAACCTGCCTGAAATGGAATGAAATGCGGAATGAACATTTTTCTCTAAAACTGTTAATCCTCCTGTACTGCTGCTCGATCTTCTTCACCTAACTACCATTTCTCATAGATTATAAGCAGCATGCTCCTTCCATATCGCTGCGCAGCCTTAAAGTAGTCAGGAAAAATCACTTTAAAAGCACAAGGTAATCGACTTGTGCATTAATCGCCTTGTTGTCCGTCCCCAAAAAAGAGAGTGCTGAGGTTTTTTTCTAAATATTATCGCAACGTGGAAAATCCCCAATTTGTGAAATACAAAATTCAATATTTTGCCAAACGGTTCGGTTGAATTGTGTAACTTTTTTTTATTAGAAAAAAGCCCGGAGCAATGTCCCTATAAGGATTTTGTTTAGTTTGTGCTGTGCCTCTCAATGAAATGCATTGGATTTGTATCATTACTTAGATTACAAACTGCAGCTTCTGAATTGCTGCATCTTTAATGCAGTTAATCTTGTTCTGTTGACAAGAGGGTAAAGTTTGCAATTAATTATGGTCCGTAACCAAGACCATGCAAATTAATATATAGCATGTCCACTACCGATATGGAGAAAGCTATAGTAAAAAGCGCATACTGTTCGGAGTTTGGTAATCGAGTATTAAATATGAACCTGCACATATAACAGACAGCTGTGATTGTGGATTTTCCCTCTCTCTTTTGGGTGGCTCTTGGCCTAGATTAGCAGGGTATGATCTCACGGTCACAAAAGGAAACTGGACTCGTTTATGTCGTTCAGCTTCTCACAGTGAATTGATGTGTAGTATTCTCCTGGCTGTGAGCTTCAAAATGACTTGAAGCAGAGTTGAATGGCAGAACTCTTTCCCCCCCAAAAGAACTCTTTACGAAGCAGAACTTTGAAATGAATTAAGAGTCTTGCTCCTTTTAATTTAATTGTCATTGTTCCCCATCTATAGCGTCATTGGAATTCTGTGTATGTAAGAGTATCTGTTAGTGTTCAACCCTGTTTTAATCTTTTATGCTGCACAACCCTTCAAAGGCCTTTATTCTGCTGGTACTTAATTGCATTGTGGATTACTGAGAAATAAATACCAGTGGTTTTAATGACACTGGCATTTCAAAATGTGAACTTAAACACTGTTGCTCTATTTGAAGCATATGTATGTTTGCTTCCAATGTTTCCGGAAGCTTTTTAAAGGAACAATTGTTTCTCTCTAACGGTAGTGTGTGTGTATGTCAAAAAAAAAAACAAGCAGCAAATTTGATTACTGGCAAAAAAAAAAGAAAAACATTTTGTAGAGTGACTTCGAGCAACTGTTCAAATGTATTTTAAAAGTATAAGCTGGTTCTTTGATAATGGCATCCATCCCGCACAAGTTTCCCAAACCCTTTTGGAATGCTCACTCTGTATATCTAGTGTTCTCTTAACAGCTGCTGGGACACCAATGTTATTGCCTACCTCCGCTCACAGGCTTGCCCTATGGCTCTGGCTGGATCTGCTATTCCTTACACCAGCCTGCATGTAATGGCCTGCATGTCTCCGTGTAATGCTAATGGCTCCAAAAAGCAGTTAGTTTGATAAACTGTTCTCCCTGCATGACCGTGTAAGGTCACTCAATACTTGTGAGGCAAAGCTTCCTGCAAATGGCTCTCGACTTGTTGCTTATATCATATTGAACCTTCCCTTCCCTGATGCTTGATATGTTCAGAAGCACTTCAGAATGGCTGCCTTCTCTGACCTCTAACAGTCCCACTGTTCTCATTAACAGACTAATCTGGCTTGGCAAACCCTTTATGCTATGCATTCATTCTTCATGAACTACATCATGTGAAGAAGGTGTTTGTTTTTCCGATAAATTTTTTTGGGCTAATTTTATTTTGTTTTTCCCTTTTTCAGCGATAATAGTCCCAGGAGATGGACTTTCCGACTGAGAGTGCAGTTTATTGCATTCCCCCCGTTTTAAAAACAAAATTGCTAGAGATTATTAACGCAGAGTAGCTTGTGGCACAAACTGAACTGGTAGTGAAGAAAACACTATTGAACCATAGTAATAATAAAGTCTAATGCCTTGTGTTTTTCTATCACAATATAACATTGCAAGTATGAACAAAAATGCATTGCTAATTGCTGCTGCAGGAAGAGAACTCACAAGTATTGAAGAAATCTTCAATGATTTGAATAACCTGTTGCTTTATAGTAGAATATTACAGGAGTCGGAGACGCGTGTTATGGTAATCATTATGTTTTTTGTGTTGCAATTATTCAGTGTTTTTAATCAGATGTTATACCCGTGCACTTTTGATATTTTTTTTTAAAATTCTTACGAAGGGTAGAAAATGCTGTGGTATGTAGAAATAAACCCCTTCCTCTCCCTGGTTATTTTGTTCTGGTGGCTTGCTCCCCTGCACCAGCATGTTTGTAGTGGGTGTATTTTGTTTTAATAACCTGTATTTGAATTGAATTTCTACACAACCTGGGGGTTCTGTTGTAAACTCTCCGTTGTGCTTCAGCATTTTCTCCATTCAAATTTAAGCTCTTGTTTTATTTACTGATGTTTAACTGCCATGTTCTAAAATCCAGGGTGATCAAATTCTGGGGTTTTCATGTCTATTATTCTTAGGAATAGTTCAATTGTAACAAGGAAGAAAACTTGACTTTGTTCTGGTAACCGGTAATGGGGCACTTGAAAAGTAGCATTACCTACAGATGCCAGGATTTCTGTGTTTTTTTTATTAAAAAAGACTAAAGTATCATCGATTTAACAGAATTTTATACGAGTACGCCAAATAAATTCCAAATTGGAATTGCGAACATTATTTTCTTGTTTTGTCGCTGTGCCAAAACTTGGTACACATAGCAGATTAAAAAAAAAGCTGAAGATTGTCTGTTGCGGGGTGTTCCGTTTCCATTGCCTTGTTTTTTGTTAATTTTGCCAGTTAGTGCCTTTGATAATTTCCGGAGAGAGTGCTCGAGCCTCTAATTTAATTTATTGAACACAAAACAAAAATTTTATTCAAATTTCTAAAAAAAAATGTTCAGAGCAATAAGTGCAATTGAGAACCGACTCCTTGCACAGAATTTCGATCGACCATAGTCTTAATTTTACGAAGAAATTGTCTGAAATTCTGTTAGTTCGACGATGCTTTTTGAGATGCAGATTCATGCAAAATTCAGGGGATGCTAATTATCGTACTTTTAGGAACCAAACCTAGTGATTTGGGACTCCTAACAGAAAAATTAATTAAACTGTATTAACACATGTGTGGTTGCAGTACAGAGGTCTATATTAAATGTATCTTAGCTTCATTCATATGGTGATGGTCACAGTAACTGGTATTGTCGGCAGGTGTGGAAACGTGAGACATTAATAATTTTTCTTACCAGCCATGTATGTAATCATTGTGTAAATTCAGCAAACAGAAAATAAACACGGCATCAACAAATCCAGACACCCGATCACTCGGGTGGTGTTTGTCGAGGCCCAGTCCGGATAAATTGGTTCAAATTGAGACGCGTGTTTAAATTAAGTGCAATTCTGATGATGAATCCTAGCGTTGTTGAGAAAGATATTTTCTGTTCACTGAAATAATGGTGGTGTGATTCTTACCTGTGCAGACTTTCTATTTTCCTTTTATTGCAGTATTGATCATACGCTCAATTGTTACATTTAAAAAAATTTATGTACTTCATGTGGGTATTTATTTGAAGCAATTTCACAGTACTGTATTATTTTTTATGTGCATTATCATTTAGTGGCAGGTTGGCCTAAACTTAATGTCATATGCATGTGTGCCAGCCTAGAGACCTTTACACAGATTATTTTTCAATTAAATTGAAGATTAAAGTGTTTTTTTAAAAAAAAAGTTTCAGAAAATGTTAACTTTAGGTTAAAGAGTTGGCATATAACGTGGAAATAATTGAAAACTAAAGAAAGGTTTATTGTCCCAGGACTATCTGTGCAAAGGTAATCATATTGGCTATGTCAATAAATGTGACTATGGAGAAAACGGTGAGTTGTGTGTGTTTTGTGAATTGATTTTGTTTGTTTTTTTGCAAAGGCCAAATGGAAAATGTCACTCCTCACAGTTTAAATTCATTGATTTAAAACTATTCAGGACATGGTTGAAAGGCTAGTCATTAAATAATGTCCAATAAACTTCACAGTATTCCATTTATTGCAGAATTTTAAAAGCATTAATATGTATCTTGGCTGATCATTGTCTTAACATAAATATTCTAAGTATAAACAGCTCTCAACTGAACTGAATTGTAGACTAAAGTATGGACGATGCAATTAATTCATATAGATTCACACCACAAGTTACAAAATATTCATTCTTAAATCAAAGAACACAAGCGTAAGCCTGTGAGAGATGCAACACCAAGTCTCTGCAGGAGCACCAGATCTAAATGGCGATCAGCCAAGACTGTCCTGTTGCTTTGTATCAGTGATAAAATTCCTCTCGTTGCTTCTCCTATCATTTTGGATTTTTTTCCCCCCAGCAATTAAATAACAACACCACAGTTTCACTAACATAAACTAAAATAAAATTAGCCCCTTTCATTGCATTTTTCCCATTGTGCGGAAGATATTTCTGAGCAGCCAGTGCTATGCATTTATTTGGGTGCAAGAGAAACCGAGCGAGTGAGGTTATATGTGTTCACAAGATGCTTAAAGGTTGTTTTTAAGAAGACACAAAAATAGATCCTGGTAACTTAACTGAGAGCGAAGGTTATCAAGCCCGAGTACTGAAATAAGCAAACATCTACTCAGTGGAACAGTAGGGTGGATGGGATCACTTCTGTAGTGGCTTCGGTGGTAGGTAACTTGTTAATGCTGAATGTTTTAATATCAGATTTCTACCCTGGAGTTTTATTCACGAACTGAGGGAATTCGGGGTGAAGCTGTGGAGGTTTTGTATATGATTAGTCTCTGCATGCGGCAGCTTGAAATAATTTGTGAAATCCAATGTACCCCCAATTATATTTAGCCTGGGGGAAAGAGCTAGCGAGGTGGCGAAAGATTCTTTCACTTATGTGAGTGACGAAAGCAAAACTCCCCAGCAGTCATTGCTTGGAATATATCAGCAGATGTGATAACAGTGGCATTGCCATATACAGTAGTGCATCAATGGCGAGCTATGTGGTTTTAGTTGGTTAGACTCCAGCAGTTACCCCAACGCACACTCTGGGCTCCCCCAAGCCTTGGCTCTTGCCAACCTGCGCCTAATACTTTCCGGTATTAGGTAAGCCGGGAATGTGTCCCTCCAGGTAGAGAGAGCGCATTCCATTCCAACAAACTATCTCTGGAATTCCCACGTGTCGGTGGGAGGCATGAAAACCTCAGCTTGGTTTGGAAACTCTTAAGCGACGGTGATGGGTTTCCGCGCGTATCTGACCAAAACAAAACAAGAAACCTTTGAAACCTTTTTAAAAATCAGGGACCTTACAGCAGCATTTCTTGATCATCTTGTTGAAAGCCTCCTTTAGCATTAAAAAAAAACACGTTTTAGATGCGAGGTGGCTAAGTTTTTCTTTGGGAGCAAAGGAAAAGATCATTTTTTTTTATATACTCTTGAAGCTTTCCAGCAGGTGGTGCTGCACAACTGTCGACGACTCACTGAAAAGATAGCAAACCATCCACATGGCATCACGGAACGAATGGTGATGTATATTTTCCTATGCAATCAACGTTTTGAGTTTTTTTTTCCCCCAGTAACCTCAGATGGCTTACGCAGATGTACAGATTCACAGATGCTGTTAGAAATCCTGTGATAGCTGCCTAGGAAATACACAGTTACTGCACTTCACAGTAAATCCTATGCAGTGTTTTTGTGACGTCCTCCCAATATGAATGGCACCATGTCAAATATCATTGTAACGTATAAAGAATGTCAGAAATGTATTGGAAAATAAGCCTCACGAGGATGAGAAGCACCGAACAATTACCACAGCAAGAGGTTAAAGTATTTAAAATATTGTATATTTGTTAGATTAATAATAATAATAATCCTTGTACTTGGTGTCGTGCTTCATCGTGTCTGAAGGACATTTCACGGTTTACTGTGAAATGGAGCGACTGTATTTCTAGGAAAAAGATTATTGTACATTTACCGTTCTGTTAAATGATGCATAACATATTTTCATCCTTTTCCTTCTACCCTCCCCGTTGAAAGCCACATTAAAACCGCTGGAATAAAAAGAAGATGTTAATAACCCTCTTGATTCGTAGAATTCCTAGCCTTGTTTAGTCTTTGCTCTCTCCGCTATCTAATGTTTTTCACGTTGGGTTCGCAGTGTGATTGATATTGGCTGAATTACTGCGAGTGTATTTGGCAGCAACCTGCTTTTTCACACGATGCTGGCGAATCACAAATTCTCCTGATTACTCACAGTTTTAGAGGCCCTATCTATCTGTTGCATTGCCCATTAAAAATCATTCACTCTTGCAGCCAATAATCATGGTAAAGAGAACGTTTTATACATAAAAATATATAATTTCCTTACTCCACACAGAGCCTAATAATAATAATCCCTCCAAAACCAAAAACAATAATAAATTGGTCATTTTCAATCCACGACTGTTTGTGGGACATTGCTGTGCGCAATTGGCTGCCGCGTTCGCCCACAAATATACAGTCAATTCACTTTACAGTGTGTTCTGTGAAGCGCTTTGGGACGTCCTCCCGACGTGAAAAGCGCTATATCAAATGCAAGGATTATTATTATTATTATAATATATATATCTGCAGTAAACTCCTGATAGCTCATCACTCCAAGGGAAAGGGGCTCAGTGACTAGTTATCCAGAGTGGCAAGTTGGGCATATTTATAAATGCATAAAGAACTGCAGCTGGGATAATGACAGCATGACAACTTAAGTGGTAGAGACAAGTTAAGACAGGGTTGAGTTATCAGGAGTTGACTGCATTCTGTCCATACCATCCATGCAGAATCATTCAATGGTGTCTGCAGATTCTTTTTTTTTAAAAAAAATAGGTTTTGAAGAGTTATGTTTGAATTCCAGCTTCAGCCCCAAAGTGAGATGTGATTGACTTTCTTTCTAGCGATACTCCTGCAAAATCCTGCATACTCTCTCCTTTTTATATACATGCCTGTTAAAATAAGCAATGTGTCCCTTCCTCTCCCCCCCCCCCCCCCCCCCGAGGAAAAGGTACCTCAACATTAACATTTCCAATCTCGTTTGCAAATGTTTCAAGGATACCATATATGAGCGAGTACGGTTTCCTTTCAAAATCTTTGAAACGTCGGGGGAGACAAAACTAGGTTACAGGATAACACAAACCCGTCCACATCTTGATCGCAAACAAACAGTGGACAGAGGAACAGACACCAGAGACCTGACCTGCGCATTGAACGATTGAGGTGAGCAGCAGACACTAACTACTTTCAAGGCGCAAAGTGTGTGGTAGTTAAAGAGAGTAAGGATAAGAGTGGGAGTGGAGTGGAAAATACAAGCGTAGGCACATCTGTATAAATAACAGGGTAAATGGTTCAACTATCCCAGATGTAATGCCAGGACCGCAGCTGTGGTTTATGAATAACCAGATCATTGATCCAGGAAAAGACCACATATAGCCTCTCCCTCCCCCACGGCAAAACTGGGAAAACCATCCTTAGTTTAGGCCCTGAGCCAAGGTGAGTGGACGGAAATCCAGTTCTTCCCTCCCCTCTCCCCCCCCCCCCCCCCCCGATTCATCACTTTTATTGTCGATCCGTGTTCTTTTCTCTCTGCTACTTTCAAATCAGAATTGTCAGAAAATTAGCTACTGACTTTCTCCCTAATGACATTGTCGATGTTTCCTGCCTTAAATGTCTTGACAGCAGGTGAGGTAGCAGTTGGGAGGGTGGGGGGTGAAGGGTGAAGGTGGCTTATTACAAAAAGGATAAGCATCTGCAGCTCTAATTAGTGGCTGACTCGGACACCACACCCCACCCCCCCCCGTCCCCTCCATACAGCAGCTGTCTTGACCCGACTGGTGAAGCCTGATAGAATTGTTGGCTTCAGCAACAATACTTGAAAGGCTTTCAGCACCAGCTCAGCTGAACCCTCCACAGTGTCCTAAGCTTCAACCAACATGTTCGGGCACTTCTTGTCTTGTCTGATTCACGTCAACTCTCGGAAGCCTTCAGAAACGTTCGCTTCACGTCAGGTCCTGACCGTAAATCTTACTTGATGGGTTCAGTGCTCAAGCTACGTCTGCCCTAAGCAGTTTCTTCCCTTTCAAGCACCAATGCAGACCCCAACTCAATCCAGGACCCGGTTAGCTAGGGCCAGGTTGTCTTAGCTGCAGGATCCTCTGCTCCCACCTCGTTAGGTCCATTAGTTTTCGAGGGTTTGAGTGAACTTCAGCGACAACAACTTGCATTTATGTTGCAACCCACACGCAGGGTGGTGTGGCAGAACTTCACCAAGAGTGGGTCCACAGTGCAGAGTTTGGTTTGGACTTCAACCATCATGAATTGCACGGATTAAATGCCAGTCGGGAACATTGAACTCAGACAGAGAAAGGCATACGTACCCAGGCCACTCTTCAAATGACACAATTCTGCACTTGGCTCCCCTCAGAACTTCCAAACTGAGCCGAGAGAGTCAGCGTTAAGCACATTTCCTTCACTGTCCTGCCAATGCACTCTTGTAGTGGTTTTGTTCGTGGCAGACTGCCAGATGATTTGTCACATTGCGTTGCACACACATACTCCACTCCAAGTCTTGAGCTTCAATGACCAATTATGGAGAGAGCGCTGACTACATATAAATACAGAAATCCAACAACTAGGGAAGACTCGAAGCTTTCAAAGGTAGAGCTGACTTTTTTTTGCTGAATTTTTTATTCCTTGGGCGCGTCTGAATTCATCCCGTAATGAGTGGCTTTTCCTTCGTCTGCCGTGTTTGATACTGCATCACAAATATTCTTTCAATAAATTGAATAATCCTCGCGTTTGATGCGGTGCATTATCGCATTAAGGCATCTCAAAGCGTTTTA